CTGAATGTGCTCTGTGCTGGGAAACAGCCGTGTGAATCACTCCTTTTCTACTCTTCATGTGAAAATATGGTAGTCTTGCACAATCTAGCTCTCCAAGAGCAGCGTGAATGTGGAAGTTTAGAAGTTTAGATGAGCATGCAGTTAGTATTATAAAGAGAAACAGCATCCCAAATTTGCAGTGTGGGAAAATGTGCCTGTGTGTGTGTTTATGTATCTAGGTGTGGGGACGGGGAATACTGAAGAAAATTGTTGTAACTCTGGAGGAGTTCTGTGGCTTTCAAAAGAAGCAGGCAGTAGCAAACAGCTAAAAAAAGCCCTTCTCTCTTTTGAAGGTCTATGTCTGGGGCTACAATGGCAACGGGCAGCTGGGACTGGGCAGCAGTGGCAACCAGCCAACCCCCTGCCGGCTGGCAGCGCTGCAGGGCATCCGTGTGCAGCGGGTACGTGTGGGAGGAGCCAGCTGGGGCACTGCCCGGGGCTAAAGGAGAGACTCCTTCAAAGGGCTGTGTGTCAGAATGGAAACAGGAGTCTTTAAACGGGCCTCTGGCAGCAAGGGAGGAACTGGGACCCTGTAGAGTTCAGTGGGAGTTTTGTCCCTGACTTCGGTTAGGTGAGGATTTTACTTAGAGGGGACTAGGCTGTTAGAAGTGTTTGGTCTTTGTTCTTTCTTTCTTTCTTTCTTTCTTTCTTTCTTTCTTTCTTTCTTTCTTTCTTTCTTTCTTTCTTTCTTTCTTTCTTTCTTTCTTTCTTTCTCTTCTTTCTTTCTTTCTTTCTTTCTTTCTTTCTTTCTCTTCTTTCTTTCTTTCTTTCTTTCTCTTCTTTCTTTCTTTCTTTCTTTCTTTCTTTCTTTCTTTCTTTCTTTCTTTCTTTCTTTCTTTCTTTCTTTCTTTCTTTTCTTTTCTTTTCTGTGAAACTTAACAAAAGAAAGATTTCCCATTATTTTAGTCAATGCTAAAGTCTTCCTAGCTACCCCATTCTTAACTAACCCCCCTTATCTTTTCTGAGGAAGGGCTGCAGTTCAGCATTTTGTCTCTCTGGCAGACTGAATGGCACTTTTAGAGCTGCCCTCCAGCCACAGTGACTGGTGTTTGGAGTCTGAACAAGTTGGCTCCAACTGCTTTGGGTCAACAAATGGTATGATGCCATGGTCAGTCTTGTTATTGGGTGGTTATTATGCTTTACCAAGCAGCTGGGCTGCCACCAGTGTAACCAGCAAACTGATAACTTCCTTTGACTGATGAAAAATATTTAAAGTAACTGCAGAACTGATACTGGAAGTTTCTAATTGATTTATCCAAAATGGAGGATACTGTCAGGAAAATGACACATCCCTCTAGAAAACATGGGGTTTGTAACCTAGTGAAAATTTACCAGGCTGTTTTGAACTCTGAATCCTATTTACTCCATTTACTCAGGGAGGTTATGGATAAATCTTTTGAAATACCCTCATTTAATGACATTGTGTGGGCACGGGTGGTGCTCAGGGCCCAGCTGTGCAGAGTTTCCCTCCAGGGATGTAAGTGATCTTAGCAGAGGGGTCTGCTGAGCACTGGAACTGGCACAGGGAGGAGAGGAGCAGACAGGGAGAGGTCACCTATTTTTACAGTAGCCAACTGTTCATGGTGGGAGCAGGTGCCCAGAGAGCATGGTCATGCAAGATGGAGCTGCCTTTTTCCTGCACACTGTTCATGTTTGTCCTACAGCTTTCCTTTTTAGTTTCTAGCTCTTCTTTTGCTATATTCTTGAGATTATCTGACAGGGTTCCTCACTGGTACATTTTTTATTCCCCTCCAAGTCACCTCAATCTACTTTGCTTCCCTTTTTCATGCAGTTATCTGTATTTGTAATTTTTACACTGGTATAGAATCAATAACATGAACATAGTATAACATGTCTCTGTATTAACTTCCATAAAAATGAGATTTTTCTCTTTATTATTCCTTTTAGGTTGCCTGTGGCTATGCACATACCTTAGTGCTAACAGATGAAGGTCAGATTTATGCCTGGGGAGCCAATTCATATGGCCAGTTAGGTACTGGGAACAAAAGTAACCAGTCTTACCCTACAACAGTCACTGTGGATAAGGACAGGTAATACAGCCCTGCCCTTAGCCATTAGTTGGCATACTCTCAAGAGCTACACAGAATTATGGCATTTTTAATTATTTTTTTGCAAGAAACAGACTGTAAGTTTTTTTCCCCATTGTTTGAAGTCAATGATAAAAGCTTTGTTGTCTCTGAATACAAATTCTACTTTAATATGCTACTTTGAACAAGAAGGACACACAGAAAGAGTCAAAAAGTGGACATGTGTAATTTGTGTTATTTCTGGTGTTAAATCCAGCTCATAACCTGGGAGAAAGAGAAGGGGTGCTGTTGCCTGAAAATCAAGCTTAGATTTTTACAAGTTAAATATTTTCCTCTAAGCTGGGTAGGAGGGTTGTTTTTTTTCTATTGCTAATGTAAAGCCATGTCTGTACGTGGCCAGAAATTTGAATCTGTTCCTTTCTGCTGAGCTCTTGAATTTAGCCTCCTGTGGTGAATAATAAGAAAAGTGAGATGTCCCTCTTACACTTCTCTGTGTGAGTCACTGTAAGGAAGAGGCAGCTCCTCTCTGGTGACAAGACATGGCCTGGTTTTGACTGCTGCTCTTTCTGCATGTTTTTTTGTGCTTTTGCTTAAAATGTAACTGATTTTTTTTCCCAGACACTTTGGCTGCAGTTAAAATGTTGCCACAATTTGAGTTTCAATGCTGTGTGCTGCCTTTCCCTTTCCTTGGCCAGAATGTGCATTCCTGGTGTCAGTGAGAATATTACCTCACTGCAAGATTTGTACACACAGCTTTAAACAAGTTGTTTCCCAGCTATTTTCCCCAGGCAGCTGGGAGAACAAGTAAACAAGCAGTAGTTCAGCCTGCAAAAGAGTGGATTGTGTAATGGAGCACACAGTGGGAGTTGTTTGGAAATCCTGACTCCACTTGAGGACTAGTGAGATAGCCTCACATAGCTAAAGGACATTTGGAAACAGCTTTTGGTGCTGTTG